CACACACACACACACACACACACACACACACACACACACACACACACACACACACACACATGTTAATCGGTAGGCGTCGAAACAAATCAAAGAAATGATTTAGTTTATCCAATTCTGGGCTTAACAAAGTGTTACCAATTAAGGTAGAGACTAGGGTGCGCAGAAAATGCAAAAGGTTTTTATCAGTGCCGACAGACATTGTGACCATTACAGTTCAATACCTTTTTGAATACTTTCTAACTATTGACTGGCAGTTGACTTCTCACTTCGACTATTTTCACAGTACTCACCTCACCTTTGTTCTACCTTTGTGTTTATCTCTTACACTTTGAAACACTCTTCTGTTCCCCCCACCTCTCGAATTTTTTTCAATTTGATGTTCCTCCCCCTCTGTGAAGCCTGAAGTCAACTGAAGGGCTAATGATAACCATCAAGACGCCTGCCATTTGATATAAATAAATATTTACTTGTGTGATTGCTAACTCATTTTCTGTTAGCTCTCATCCATTTACTTTAATTTGTTCCTTGCTTACTTAAGCTACTTAGGACGTGTTCAGTTGCCCGAATTCAGGACATGGCAAGCGTCATTTAAAACGGGGCCATCATTAAGCACCGTCTAATTAGCATTGGTATTTTAAACCACGCACAATACTCTGGCAATGCCCTTGGCCCTGGGTCATCATGAAAATCGTTTAATTCTTTGGGTCGCCAATCCCTTTCTTCTTATATTCACAATGATTCATTTGCGTTTCACATTGATTAAGAGGGAATTGGTGTCAGATATCAAAATAAAGGATAGATGTTGAACTTAGAATTACTCTTCACTGACCTGTGGCGTTTTTCCATAACCAATCCATGGTCGTTTATTGGCTTACCCAATTGACTATGGCAATATTGATCTTGGGGTGTGAGATAGACTTACCTTCATGTGGTACGCGCTGGGCAACGTATACTCATGCTATAAACCAGCAGTTGACTTCTGACTTCAAACTGCCTTGACCCCACTGTTTATCATATTCCACCACTTCCACAGTACTCATCTTACCTTTTCACTGCCTGTGTCTATTTGGCTCTTTTACATCTGTGGATCACTCTTCTATTCCTCACCCCCCTCTCGACATTTTGTGACTGCCTGTTCCTCCCCTCTGTGAAGCCCAAAGTCAGCTTAATGGCTAATGACAACTAACAAAACGCCTGCCATATGAAATAAGTAAATATTGAACTTGGGCCCATTTCAGTTATGGTTCATTCTCCAATGTACCAACATCCCCCCCCCCCCCACCTACTTTCGAAATTCAGTGCATTGAGCCTCTCCCTGATTTTCCCTTACGCGAATATTTTACCACCGCCTCTGTCCACTTTCTACTTTGTGAAAGTGAAGAAAGTGGTAATCGGTCGGTCGTATCAAGTTGACCTTTTCAACTAATTAATGATTCAAACATTAACTATATCTTCTCTACTCAAAGGAAACATTGCGAACAACAAAGACAAAGGCTTCAACAAAATGAACAACAACGAATCAATGAATAAATCGACTTTGGATTTCCCTTTTCACAAGGTTCATTCACAATTCAAACAAGCAAATACAGATCTCTCAAGTGTTGTTTTTAAATGGGGGTCTCTAAAATTCGAGAGAGGGGAGGAGGGGGGGGGGGGGGGGGGGGAGGGGAGGGAAGGGAAGGGGAGAAGTAAGCTGAAAGAAATTTACAAAATACAGACGAGAGGAAGTAGGCGGCTCATTGGCAATACATGCATCAGGAGATAAGAGGTGAGCTTGAAAGGATGTACACACCACTACCACCACCACCACCACCAGCACTACGTCTTGTTGAGGAAGATTGTGATGGCGACTGATTACGTGAAGGATTTTTCGGCGTGAAGATATTGCAATTCGATGTTGAAACATAACTCGGCGGGTGAGGTCTGGGTCTATGTGGATGTCGAACGACATACTCCGGCTCGTCGGAACAATCATTTCTGTTAGACAGTCGTCGAATACCCACCGGGGTCTGGGGACTAGATCGATGCAATGCTCCATTAAACCCAACCACTGTGGTTGCAACTCCAGGAGCCGAGGGCTTATTCAGAACAAGAGTAGTTGTTTTTGGACGCCAAACAGGAGCACTAGGATGGGTGTCTGAAGATTCACTACCTTCTCTACTTCTACGAGGACTAACAGAAGCGGATCCAGACCTTGTTAAAGTGAAGGTCTTAGACACTGCAGACCGGTGAGCTTTATACTGTGGATGAATGGGTTCAATAAGGCTGTTGGTTGATTGGGTGAGGGCGGGGGATTCATCTGGGTTATAATGTACCCGGTGAAGAGACGGAGTTGAGGTATGGGGATGTAGACGAAGTTGGGTTGTTTTTGACACTGTGGGACTAATTTCAAAAACAGCAGGGGCTGGAATTGTCAGCGAGGGGCCGCATTTGGAGGGCAAAGTGAGTGGTGGAATTGTCAGCGAGGGGCTCTGAGTTGGTCGAGATCTTGAACGATTGTTGGACAAATGACGCTCCTGCATGTTCAAAAGATCATTGCGCTCTCTCTCAAGCCTGCAATTCAAACCCGGGGAAGTTAGTTCGAGTAGTATACATATTAAAGTTAAAGAAAGCTAAGTTACGGTTAATAAACTGCAAACTACCATAACCTAATAACCTACTGACTTTCCTTTTAGCTTCAAATTCAGCGCTGAAACAAATATACCAGCTTTTGATTAGAAATACTTCTTGAGGCCGAGAGCCTGCATCTTTACTTCCTCCTGTTTCATGCTCGATTCGTTTATTTCAATCCAAATTATATATGTGAAGCATGGACACACACTCTTGCCCCCACCGTATTCCGGCAACAATGGGTATTAAAAAATGTTGTTTCATTCAAAGCACAATGCGTTAGACCCCTTAACGCTACTGTAACCTGCATCACAAAATCGTGGTTCTCCACTAAAAGATGAATCCCGATTCCATCCGAAATATCAATCTTGCTACAATGGGTTTTGGTGAATTTCAGACATAAACCAAATTTCTCCTACAGTGAAAGCAATCAATATCGAAGAAAATGACGCGCAGACACCTACCAAGCAACAGCGTCGCCTAGCTCTTCCAGTGTAGACGTTAAAATATGTTCATTTTCTGCCAGTACGGGTTGCGTATGGACATAACCTCTAGCTTCACTTTGTTCATTGTGCTTCTTGACAGACAAGTGACGTCTGCTGCTGCTGCTGCCGCCGCCGCCGTCACCGCTGCTATCAGGTTCAAGGTACCAGGAGTTGGAGTTAATTCCAACGGTAGCCATGTCATCAGTGGCTACTGCGCCTGCATAATAGTCGCCTAAATCGTAGTCCATTGGGATGAGACTGGGACCAATCGCCGAGGAAGACATCTTTTGCTGTGTTGCAGTGGACTGCATTGGAGTTCCAATCAAAGAGGTGGTGGCGGGAGGAGGAGGAGGATGAGGGTGATTGCTTGCCAGACTGGTGTTGATAACTTGACGATAAGGGTAGTGGTGTTGTGTTGCGCTGGTTGGTGACTCCTGTTTATTGTTAGTGATAAGAGATGAAGACGCAGTTGAAGACCTTGAGAGATGTGGCTTAAACTATAATGAGAGAATAATCTTGGGGACTTCAAGGCGTACAGTATTTACTATGAAGGATAAGGACAAGTACCAGGAAACTTGCGCAACAAGTATGGGGCACGTATTTTAGGTTATGACATTTTACGGCTGCTTAATGGCAAAATGCGATTAAATGACTTTGTTATCCTAAAGGTGACTGGAATTTTTAGCATTTCAGAAAGTGAAACTAATGAATACTACGCACCGATAGGATAAGACATTGGCGTTATAGTCAGCACCCATTGAACCATACATAGCCTGAAGCCATGCTATAGAAAGGTTCATCAGAATGCATTGACAAGAAAGAGGCGTGACAACCTATTAAAAACTGAGAATACACGAAGAATCACCAGGACTTTACTAAGGCGACTCAGGCATGACCATAAGAAACCGAGCAAATAAATTAAAGCTGAGTTAATTGAGCTAATTGTTTATAACTTTTTGATTGATTTTAGCCGTGGATGACACTATATCAGAGAGCATTATATACTGAATGATTGAACTATTTGACACGTCTAGTATCCTCCCAATTAAGATTACATGGGTCAAATAAAGTGGTCATAAAAAAAAGGAAAAGTACATTTTCAAATCAAGATAAAAGTGCAAACTTACGTGAGTAATAATAGAATTGGGTCTAGGCTCGAGAATAATGTTCTCGTTACTCGACATTGTTGTAGTCGTTGCTTTCAAGGGACCACGAGCCACTGTGGCGTGGTGGTGGTGATGGTGGTTTCTATGTTGTTGATAGTTCCTTCGAGGCGAGAACTGTTCAGCAGATGCAATTCCACTAGATGATCGAGAAATGGCCAGTGTTTTCATTTGTGGGTGAGCGGGAGGTGCAACGGAGGGACTGGAGATGGGACATTCTGCTTGTTGAACTTCTGAGCCTGGACTATTGGGAACAACTGGACGTCGATAGAGTGAGAAGGCGCTGTGAGGAGGTGAGGGGAACTGCAGAGTGTGAACTGGACTCGCTCCACTACTGGATGTCATTTGTCCGCCACTTCCGCAGCTCTTATTTTCCCCCTCATAAGGCGCGTCGTATATCGACCGTCTTCGAGATGTGTGCGTCTGCAACAAAGCGCAATAAAGGAATTATGCATTAGTGTCAATTTACCCATTGGAAATAAACTGGAAATTCCACAATCTCTGCACGAGAAACCCGCGCTCCAATACTCTCACTAAGCGTTTACTGGTAGAAATCGAATTGAATACCTTAGATATTAATGAAAGCTCCACCCAAACTCACCTTGATAGAGAATTAGTCAAACGAGTAGAGGAGGGAAATTGACGACAGAGGTAAAGAATTTAATGAATTTAATTGTTCATCATAAAATTTAATGCTTTAGCAAACTAACTAGAAAAGGCATATTTTTGGAAAATGGATGACTGTTTAAATGCAATGATCATAAAGATATGATGGGGTGATTCATTATTGACCTGAGCACAAGAGTCTTCAATGATTGACTCATCGACGTCAAGGCATGTCCGATGAGCTTTGGCGATATTTCCTGCCAGACTGCGTGGCATTCATTTTAACGCCTACTACCCATCACTCTCACCATGGCGACGTATTCGGCATAAGTAAACAAATGACTGGTTCATTTGCACCAATTCAGAATGTTTTAATGTATCAAATTTGGGGGGAAAATGCACAACTCAATGGCACACTTAGTGAAATGCTCTCAAATTTTGTTAACTTGAATCAAAGTAGTGATTAAGAGATAAAATTACTTACTGAATCATACACCTCATCGATATAGGGGTCGTCATAGTCTACATCATGTCTCCCAGCGCCGCTATTTCGTCGGAAGACGGACGCGTTGAGCAATTCCCGCACAGTGACCCGATCATCAGCCTCATCCTCTCCAAAAGGAGTCGTCCTCTTCGATGAAGTCGTCACAACGTCACTCAGGAGAGATTGATGCTGATATGCACTGCTCTCTGGTATTCGAACGGTTGTAGGTCGAACTGCTCTTGGTTTAGTGATCGGAGATCCGAGAGTTTTAAGATCAGGAATCGATTGTCGAGGCACTGTAGAGGAGGAAAAATCCCCTTTGAATTCTTCCATAGGAGATTGTGGATTGAGAATAGCTGATTTCACACTAGAAGAGGTAGCATAGGCCATAGGTGGAGCAGGAAGACGCTTGGTGGAATCCACAGAAGCATATGCGGAGTCGGTGGTTGCTCGACTCTCAGTGAAGTCACTTGATGGAAGTCCAGTTCCATTTTTTAGGTTCTCCAAGTTATCTATGATTTCGGGAAGACGAGAGAGTGAAGGAGGTAGAAACTCGGTCGATGACGTGTTGCCAGAGGGGAAAACCTGTCACACAAAATCGGAGAGCATAAGTGACCACATTAGCATGTGAAGCACCGTGGGCTCTTCAAGCACACTGCCAATCATGAAGAGAGCAAGAAATAGTTCTTCTTTGATTGAAAGCGAAGCAATTAATGAGCATGTTAACCAATCAAGAATTAATAAAAGAATTTGAGATAAAATGCACGTAGAATACATTTGTTCTGGGATTACATGGCGTTGTAAACGCTGCCTTTTTAATTGGGACCAAAATATTTGTAGCGCTTCTGAGAAGGCAACTTAAAAGTGATATTGCCACCTAGTTAACATTGTAGACATAGTGACGAAACAGGCAAATGCCTGGATTATGATAGCGAGGTAACTCGCAAGGTTTGAGCACATTTTAATTAGAGGACCTAATTAAAATCACGCCTTGTATTTTTAATTTCCAAAACGAACTTGCATTGATATCTAGTGGTTTATTTTGTTTTGAAATTGCGTTCTGCAGAGGGCCTTAATAATAAGAAGTACAAAAAAACGAAGACGAGTTTGCCAAATACTTAATGAGTTATTTGGAGAATTGAAACCATTATTTATTGGAATAGTGACAGTGCTTTTAATGATAATAGCATTTTTTTAAATTGTAATAAAATAGAACTTTGAACTGAAATGAGGCTGCTTATTATAAACTATTCAGCCAGTCGAGGAGGTTCTTAGAATAGGAAAAGTACACATCTATCGTGTAGATGGGCAAATAATTGTATCCCTACTTGCCTAAATTTACAACGCAGTATCAATGAAATGTTACAAGGGTTGGGAAAAAGGCTAACCGAAGAAGTGGTTGAGGCATTGCGCTGTCTATCAGGAGGAGGATTAAAGAGTTCCTGGCAGATGTTTTGCAAGCAGGCCAACTCGTAACCGCAGTCGATATTGCTGGCGACAGGTGAGGTCACGCGCTCGGTAGCGCTGCCTTCAAGCCCTCCAGGAAGAGAGGAAATGTCCCTCAAAAATTTGCGCATTACTGGAATCTGCACGTCTACGTAGGCATTCATGAAGCGCATGAAGGACTCCTGAAACGTAAGATAACAGAAAAGAGGTTATGAGTGCGACTTCAAATAGCATTTGCAGTGTTAAATTTCGTTTTGAAATGCCCTTCAAAGCTTCACTTAAGAAGAAAACTGGTGTGCATCGATGATGAAAGAGCTAGTGTGTCTACCTGTCAAGTCAGATATCAAGGCAGGAGATGAAGGATACAAGTTCTAAATTAGTCACCTATCCAAAATGAGTATCAGACGCTCTTTCCCCAGTTCAATACCTTCATTCTAACGAACTCTAGTACGAATTTATTGAATGCTATGCCAATTTTGTCAATTTAGGTCAATTCAGGTCCAGGTAACTCAATAGACGTCAATTTACTGGAGCCTTTCCAATGCAAAACCATCTAGCACACAGAGAGGATTAGTTTCAACAACTATTTTTATTCTCTGCTGGAGTAGGAACCAGCAGAAGAATACTTTTTTTATATGCAGAAAGGAAGTGTAAGTGAGTCTGAAGATGGCAGCTTGAAGGATTTCAACGTGGGGATAGCAAATCGTCCAACGCTGCATCAGATGACAAAGACGCTAAGGCGACTAAGTTGCAATAAAACAGTCAGGTGATCGAAATGACCAACTGCTTTTTTGCCTCTAGGCAATGCATTAGGCGTATTTTCAGTTAGGGCACTGTGCATTTGGGGTAAAAAAACAAATGCAAACAGATTGGTAGGAAAACACACATGAAAAAATGTGTATTTCATCTTTCCAACAAGAGCACAGGCCACTTCATTTCCCAGCGTCACTGTTATTCAATGACAACCGTTGTTTACGATGGGAGCATTCTTTATAACTTCCAGCCTTGGCGACAGTTTTCGATTGATGGTATTTGCATTGGCGTGTACTTTATCGTCGCATAAAAGTATTATTTTGACAGTTGTAGTAAGCACTGAAGACTATGTTCAAAGATTGACATATTGGGAAAAAACAACCAATAAATATTTACTACAAATTACGATATATATATATATATATATATATATATATATGCGTATGAAGATTAGCATTTCTGCTTCGATCAACAAACAGCTCAAGTCTTGCCATTTGACATATTACAGATAGAAAAAATTCTCTTAGGAAAAGAATATTCGCGAGAAATACATTTTTCATCCGAAATTCCTGTGGTAAAATATCTTAAGGAAAATAACTTCCCCCTCAATTGGTATAAATCAATTTTAATCCATGTAGAAGTTATTCAAACTTCAATTTCTCAGATCCAAACCCCCTAAAATGGTCCGAATTAAATACATTTGCCCATTTAGTAATTCAAAAGTCAGTTAATAGGTCATTTTAACAAAAGCCAATCTATGATTAATTTCAGCAATACCACAATTTCCTGGTAGAACATTAACTATTGAAATCTCAGCAAATTAGGTTGTAAAAAGGAATGCGTTTCCACAACGCTCTAGTAGACAAGTTGGCTTAAATTTACAATTAAGGGTCCAGTAGTGCAATTATCTAATAAACGCTAATTGAATCAACAACTGTCAAATTATTTCACATTCTGGTTATGTTTAATTACTTCTCATTGGCAGTGGGTTAAAAACGAGAGTTGTCACTTTTCGACCCCGGATGCTCACCAACGTTTATTGCTTTAATTATGTTGGAGGAATTTAAGGTATGTTTGTTTAAATGCATCTACGGGTTATGGGATTCTTTAAGAAAACTCCATTCACAGCATTTGGTAGAGAAGAGCACTAGAGGTACGAAATGCACCAACAACATTTCAACTAGGTGGTATTCATTATGGCCGCCAATCTTGGTGAGGGCAATCACTTTCTAATATCTGATCCCAAAACAATGGTTGTGGGCGGAGATGTTTTTGCTATTGCCACGTGCACGTCAATGGCGAAGCCTAAGAGAAGGGCTAATTTTTAACACGCCAAAAGTACTAATCAAGCCCTTCACTGGAATCTTAAAAAGGCAAAAATTTGAAATTGGCAGAATGTGAGCCAAGTGTACGAAATATTGCGCTGTTTGCACCAATATTTCAGCAAAGACAAATTTGAATAAATTCCTTCGATGGCTTCAGCGATCAGCATTCAAATGACGGCGGCACATGACGCACCACTCACTAATTCCTATCAACCGCGTAACTCGCTCACCCTCTCCCTCTCACACATAAGACGCCTTAGAAGTATTAATGGATATTGCATTGGTAATACAGAGGTTGAATGAATAAAGAAATCTCTGGCCTTTTGGAGTTCCCTTTGTTTCAGTCCATACAGTCACTGCACATACTAAAAGTGATAGTGTTGCCCCCCCCCACCCCACCTCCCCGCCACCACCAATTCTTCTCCAAGCCATTGTGAGTGCAAAACCGGAGGTAAATGGAGCTGCGCGTAATGAGAGCCTACCTTATCGCCGAAAGTGGAGAGATTGGCGAGTGATTGGAGAGACTTTGCGATGAGGGTAAGATTGCGTTGACAATTCGACTCGCCCGGGAAGGTGCTAGCCAGGCCGAAGAGGGAGGGCGTGAGGATGGCCGGACAGACAAAGCGCAGAAAGATGCAGGCGGAGATCAACTTGTCACAGAACTCTGCCCCCCTTGAAGGCTCTAATGCCGCCCGAAATGACGAAAACACGTCCAACAACGATCTGGCAGAATTGAAATTGAATAGAATGTCAAACATTTCAATGCACTTGTTTTAAAGGGAAATTAAAGGGCTGCACATTTGAAGTAACTCATTAGAAAAGGAAATTAAGCCGTGAAAATTTTGACTGTGACGTCCGTTGCGTGGACAACTATAGGATCGGAATTCAACCCATTTAATGAGAATAGCATCTGCAAACCTATGGTATAGTAGCCGCACATATATATATATATATATATATATATATATATATATTTTTTAACCCTTAGTAATGATTCATTTTGGAATGCAGGTGAAATCGGTAAAGAAAGCTCAATAACTAGTATATGCACGGGTTGGGGGGGGGGGGATTAGAAATTAGCTAAGCCAAGCCACATTTTCAAAGATTCGGACTTCATTTGAACATTGAACTCAAGTCTATATATATGTATAAGCATTAAAACACAACGAAATATGAAAGGACAAATTCAATGGCCGTTCAGTTGTGTGATTCAATGAGCGACTTCATGTGCAATTGCATTTCACCTTTCTGTATATCGTAAAGTGTCTAAGCCACTTTCAAGAATTGGGTCATGCCAAGACGGCATCTTCACAGATAGCAGAAAGTCGTCGACCGACCCGACAGATGTTAAAGTTCAACTTAGGTGCACTTTTAAAAAAGCAAGGTCAGTCGGTATGTGAGGGTTATGTGAAGAAAAAGGGAGTGGTGGGGGTGGGGGGGAGAGGGAGAGGAGGTGGAGGTGGAAGGAAGAATGTTATTTTAGAACACGCAACGTTCGTTCACATTTTTTGCTGATCCAATTAAGCCAATCGGCCCGAACTGAACAGGGCTTTTTGCCAACGATCTGAGGTAAAATAATCTATCAAGTTGATGGTTTCATGGACGCTTTTTGATATTACTTCACCATATATATATAGAGCAGACAGTAAATAATGCAAAAAATAATTCGTTTTAGTGTAGAACATAGTATAGCATTGTATGGAGCCTAGACAATAAATTAACACGAGACGATGGAATATGGACTTTTAAGACTTGAAGAATAAACATCCATCTCACTCGAGTGACACTCGTAAAAACGTCACTTAATCTTCAGTTAAAACATTGGAAAGGATTACCTTGCCAATTGAGGGGATTATTTTAACACCATGTGATTGTTCTAACGCTTTTTACTGGCGTAATACCGTAATTCGCAATCTGAGAAATAGTGGCCTTTTAATCACAGTGCTTTGTGCACACACTCTAATATTGGGCAAAGTGGGTGTGCGATAGACTTACCGCCACGTGGTGCACCCTGGGCAACGTATACTCAAGTGGCAAAACAGTTTATTAACCGTCAGTTGACTTCTCACTTCTAACTACCATCACCTCACTGTATGTCATTTTCGACTACTTTCACAGTACTCACCTCACCTTTTCTCTGCCTTTGTTTGTGTCTCTCTCTCTCTTTTACATCTGTGAATCGACTTTTTGTGACTCTGAAGTACCTCCTCCCCTCTGAGAAGCCCGAAGTCAACTAAAGAGTTAATAATAACAATCAAAACGCCTTCCATTTGAAATAAAATAAATATTGGCAAAGTATAATGACATTCAATTTAATTTGCCCAATTAACCCTCAGTCATTTTATTTGTAGACCTCAAGAAAAATAAAAGGGTTTCATAATATGGAAAAAAGTGCGTCCTTCGTTAACTAATCCTCTGAACAACTGTTCTGAAGCTCTCTGCTCTTAGATAGTAGACACACACATATAGTATTACAAGAAAAGTCAATTTACTTGGGGAAGTTTGGTAGACTTGCGCACACAGCCTCCCACACGAGATCGAGATGTTGAAGAAGCTGTGTTTGACTGTAGACCAGACTTCCTGGTTGGGCGACTCTTCCATTGTTCAGCACCGCAAGACGAGAAAGACCATTTTCTGGGGCGTCCGAATAACTACTACTCGTACTTGAAATTCTTTTTCGAGAGCAGTAATCCTGAATAATCATGGTTGCAGTTGATGATGTTCCACGACCATCAGGAGAGAGCAAGGAGCCTCCTGAAATGTTGGAATGTGAAAGTTTGTTTGGATCTACTTCCCAAGTGTCAGGGCATGTTAGAACCCGTTGAATGTACCGGTAGAGAAGATTGTGCAGGTACTGAATTGAAAATAGAAATAAAAAAGTTACCATTTCGGAGGGAGGGAGGAAGAGGGGAGGGGAGGGGGGGGGGAAACAGCAGATGATGGTACAAGTTTGTTTATGCAAGATGGCGAGAGGCTATTAGTCATGGGCACGACGCCTGGCATTTATTATAGAGCCACTGACTTTTTTTAAACTATTTACTATTCGATACCGATGGCTAGCCACTAGCACATGTTTTTGGAGAGTCGTGATTGTAAGCAGTTCGAGATATGCACTCTCTCTCTCCCTCTCTGTTGCAATCAACTCGATTGGTACTGGTTAGCGGAAAAGGGTATTGCAAATAATTGTTCACGAAAGGAAACTTTTTTAAATGCAATTCAATTGGCCTTCAAGTTAATCTAAAACCAAATTTCAAAGTAAATAACATCTCGAGAGTCTGGGAAAAAAATTGAGATCCTGACGGGCTTTATGGCAGTATCTTTACCGGACGCATTGTCCATTGTGGATGCTTCTTCCATGTAAAGGTGTGTTCGACGGTTCTCAAAACAGCGCAATTTAATGGTGTGCCAAGTAAGAGGAAATGCATGCACTTAAAGCTACTCAAACATACAGTTTGAATTCGAAAATCCACGCACAGCACTTTGTCAACTACGCATATGTGGGCTTTACAGTCTTGTGATCAAAGTCTACTCCCACAGGGGAGGGGGGGGGGGTTCGGATGGCACAAATGCCAGGCGAATGCAAGTTCTAGTAATGTTTTGCATAAAAAGCCCGAATAGGTTATTCCAAATGCGTGAGGTAAAACGCCTAAGTCGATGATGACCAAACACATCTGTTCAGAGTCTTCGGTGGCAACCGCATTAAATTGATACTAAATTGACCTACCTCCTTGCCCACCAATTTGATATAGCTTTCCACAGCCTTGGTTGCCATGGTGTTGGACCGAAAGGTCATCGATTCGTTCTCTGAAAGCATAAAAGCAAGAGGTGCAACAAAATGATAGGAAAAGAATTTCATGCTTAGCCAAAAAAATTGAATCGAATTACGTAAAATGAGATAGATAGTAGTGGGGTTTTGATGGGGCAAGGACAATTTGTTTCACATTATTTTGAGTTCGCAAAAATGTAATAATTAGACACTATCGTCATTGGACAAAAGTTGTTGTTCTTGAACTTCAAACTGGGAAAGTTGAACTTTATTGTGCGGTTACAAATTTTCCTTCCGAAGCAATACTCCACCCAACAGCACGTAAAATGAATTTCAGAGTTGACAAGTGCCATTTCTTTATTCAACCCTGGGGTAGCGATGTAAAACTGAAAAGCCCTGGTGATTTGCACACAGAAAAAGCAACGCAAAAAAAGAGCGATATAATAAGCAGAAGCCCATTTTTAATTCACATTTGCGAAATAAAAGATTTACAACGTCATTTATCCTAATTTAAATCAAATGGCGGCTTTATGTGGGACTTTCGAAGTTATGGTCATTTGATTTGATGCCAATGTTAAGCAATTGCTTTACCAAGTTGTCATGGCAATGAAAATAACACTTTCGTACATCGCAGCATCGAATTTTCGAAGCGTATTTCGGTAAACAAGCCACCCCCCCCACCCCCTATTAAATCGGATCAAATTTTCCGAAATTAAGCTGCTTATCTCGAGCTTGGCTTTAGGTGTTCACATGGGCCTTTACATTTAAAGTCAGCGTATTTAAGTAGTATTTAAGTAGTCTTTAAGAGAGGGAAAAATAAAAAAAACTTTTCAAGAAATACGCGACCCCAAGACTGGGTAGAAGAGAAGACTCTTATGACTGTAACGACGTCCATGCATAAATCACAGCTGAGGTTGCAACCAGCTCAACGTCGATTGCTTTGCACTCCTAGGACTGATTACCTTCTCAACTGACTTCAGGTCAAAAATAGCAGACGTATTGCTTAGTGGAAGGGAAAAGAAGTATACAAAAGTTAGCACTACCTTCGTAAGCGAAACCATTAAATGGGGATTTGATAGTCTTGTGAATAATTAGCCACTAGGAGAAAGTTTAAGTGGCGCGTAATCACTTCAGGGCGATGTTTAATCATTAGAGAATCAGCGAATAATCGTTAAATGTTCGTGTCAATGCAAGCCTGAAAAAAGTGCAAGGTTGATGACTCACCCAAGTCAGAGACTTCGCGGACAACGAGTTCAGTCAAGAAGGCTGCGGCTGTTCCACCTCGCTCATGGAGATTGACCAAGCAAGAGGCCACTTCTTCCTTCAATTTCAGTGGAATAAGGTGCTCGAACCACTCGGTCATCTCGATTCCATTCTCCTGAACCAGCTGGAGAGCCAAGACAAAGGGAGTTAGAAGTACAACAAAAAGATACAAGGCAATCGAAAGGGAGTAATGAACTTTATTTGATATTTTTGCATTTAACAGCTGATTCCACCAAAGAAAGGTAGTTCTAGATACCCAATTGAAGAAGTGAATTAAGTGTTGGAGTTTAGCATGAATAACTCGAAAATTTATAAGCACAACCATTTTGCAAATCATATCTTTCGTAAGTGGATAGAGTGGTAGTGCCTTAGGAATTCGATTTCCTTCAATTAGACCTTCGTAATCCCTGTGGCTAGCTATTCTTCTCCCCGAGTGAGCCCTCCCCCCCCCCTCCCTTCGTGAGTATCAAACCCGTGCATTTGACTGCGTAGATTAGTGCTCTAACCGTTGCAGTCCACACGCATTTTATATTTGATTAACCACTGATTGCTTATACACAGAATTCGAGCACATGCCATCTATCAATGCAGATACGCAAGCAATGGGAAAGTTGCTTAGTGACCTTCAGTCATCTATCATCGCTGCAGCGAACGAAATTTAGCAAATTTTTCTGAAACTTAGGGCCCTGGAAAGAATAAGTACATCAAAAAGTGTCCTTATTCCACACCTTAACCTTTTACACTTGTCCATATTCAAGCATCAGCATTACTAATAGCCCATCGAAGCCAGCTGGAATTCAAATGGCTACTTGAGGTGTGAATTACTAAAAGGTGATGAGAAATTTTGTGGTGCAACTTAATGCCAAGCCCTAATTTAGGCACGCGCCCATTCTCTTCCACCCCCCNCCCCCCAACCCCCCCCCCCCCCTCCCCTCTACCTCCCATCCCACTTGCACCCAACTGGCTTCTTAACCACCAATTAACAAGTCCTCATTCGACTTCTTTCCACCGGACAAAAAATGTGCATTAATCCTAGCGGCCCCGCTGTTGTGGTTAATTAAATTATAGACAGGTGCTAACAATTTCCATGTCTATTTTAGTAATAAATTCAACAATATAAAGAAAGCATTTCGAACCATTATAATCAATATTGCATTGATCAAAAATGCACATTTAGCTTCTACTTCAGCGACACAAATATTGCATTGCAATGCTGGATATGGCATGATTCTTCTTGTAAAATGTCATAATTCGATTTATTTTAAGGCTCTTTTTAACGAATTTGCAGACACCTATGTCGATAATGGCTGGTACAAATAGCAATGAACCTAATGATAATAGTGGAATAGTTTAACAGATAGCAAGCAAATTCAGTCTTCCAATGAAAAGTCAATCAGAAAAAAATGCCAATAAATTAAATTGTTGGAAGGCTTTCCTATTGCCGGGGCTTCTCCCATCTTTAGAGGATCGCCAAGTGACGTGTATGACGGTCGCCATGATGAGCAATTACACCCCAGCGTCCAACCAGCTTTATTTCATTTTGATGGAAACTGTAAAACAAGTAATATCCGAGTGAATTACTAGCCATCGTAATTTTGAACCTCATTCGCATCAAAGAGCGAAGAAACTGGCAAACTAAGACAAACCAGCTTGGAAAACATACCACAAATAACCTGCTCTACTTGAACTGTGCGCGAGCGAGATAGGTGTCTTAACGGATTCAAGTGAAGCTTAAACAATAAGTGCCCTGTCATCGACTCAAATCTACAGTAACAATCATTTCATGTTAGCACACCTTCAATCAGTCGAGAGAGTAAATTTTAGGGGTCACTGCCGGTCTTAATTACATATCATCTAGTCGGTCAGCCATTTTTAAGCTAGTCAAGCCAGTGTCGACACGTTTGTGGCCCTGGTGAATCATTCGTAGGCCAGAAAATGCACAGAAATTCGTGCGCTAAACAAAACGCGATTAGGGCATTCACACACATACACACACACAGAGAGAGAGAGAGAGAGGTAGAACTGGGGGTTGACGGGTTGTATGCGAGGACATCGTGGAGAGCTTCTTTGGAATTTGGGGCTGGTGGCGAAGGCTTAGGCACGGTAATATGACAGCTGAGTTGACAAATGCGTTGTTGTGATTGTAGATGGGACAGGCGAGTTGTGTGCGAATAGGAGGAGGAGGGGGGGGGGGGGGGGGGGGGGNGGGGAGGGGGGTGGGAAATATGGGAATAACAAATGGATAGGAAAATTCGCTTTTGCTGAATAGCACTGACGAAAAAGCTTTCCATTTTCAGGCTTATGTGAGCATTCTTCAATGGCAATTTATGGGATTCTCGATGCACGCAGAGTAAAAATTCATTTACTTGGATAGGATAGGATAGGCTTAAAAACTAAACCTAGGCCACCTTTCCATTTTCAAGAGTAGGCTTGATTATTTCCATTGAATTCCTTTGAACAAAGAAAAATGGTCCACCAATGCTCGTGCAAATTCTTCGCACACTTAAGTGAAGGAGAGGAAGAACTAAGTGTCGAGGAATGAGCAAGCCATTGGAATGCTGATCGCTATTCCCATATTGAACTGACTTTCGCCTTAGATCTGGGGACAGTGGAGGCGAGGACATTTCATTTCAAACTATACAACAAACTAGAAGGTTTTGAATAGAGTGGCATAGAAAGGAAAAAAGCAAGCTTTATGATAGTTATCGGTAGCTGAGTTCTTCCTCGTCCCAGTATCTCTGGGTTTCTCTCTCTTTGCCTGTAGGGCTGGACATCGTGTCAGGTGGGTCTCCTCCACTTCCTCCTGTAGGCCATATAGGAGTAAACATTCAACCAAAATGCCCCCTCCCCAAGTTATTGATTATATTAATTGGGCGAAAAGCGTGTGACAAGTTCAGTACTAGGACAAACTCTACAGCACTGCAATTGTTTTCACCAAAAATAAAAATTGCATTTATCTAACAAATCAACTTAGTAGGCAACTACCCGTGGTGGAATATCTAACCAACCGGTTCACTCAGCTGTAATCCTAACCGCTGCCTCCATAAAATATGGTTCAAAGCAGGACAAAGGGAATAAGTAATGTGTTTTCAGACGTTGTTGAGATGTCAGGTAGAGGTTGTTTTATGGACTCTCTTAGTTAGACAACACCGTCAGTTGCGCAACAGCAGCTGCTAAGCAGTTTGTTTCATTGCCTACATCCCCTCCCCTCCTAAGCCCTCCCCCCCCCTCCCCCCCTAAGTGGGCGTACATTGGGCAATAGAAATTGAACATGTCTAGCCATTTGCCGCGGGCACTTACCGTATGGAGGGGGATGTAAACACTAAGAGGAAGAATTACGACGGACTTGTAGCGAACGGAGACACGCAGTTGGACACCGGTCCCATTTGGAGTGTTATTGCAATTAGTGGTGGAGATAAATCCTGTACTACTATTGTTTGCTCCAACAGTGAAGTTGCCGCCACCGATTTCGTTTGAGCTGATCAGCATAGGGTTCATTGAATCCGCATTGGCGGGCGGTTGGAGGGTAAGCCAAGTTTGAGACGGGTTTCGTGTGCATAAATTCGTTACGGGAAGGGTGACAAAGCCTATACACACAGAAGGAAATGCATTCAAGATAAACAAAGAGACTCGACCAAGAGAGACGCATTTAGGCCAATAAAACGTTCAGGTTGTTAAAAGCCCCAGATAATGCGTAAACAAAGGAGACGTCCAAATGATAAGCGCTGTAAAGGTCAAAATGACCGTGAAGGTCGTCTGCTAATAATGTCTGCACGAAGTGGATTTTGGAAATTAGCAAGCACGGGCATTGGAAATATTATATTTTTATCAAGAATCCCACTCCGGTGCACTCGAACAGGATTTATAAGCTCTAAGTGCTGACACATTTCACCTGATTAGATTTAATTAAAGGAGCCCACAAGGGTTGTATTTTAATGAAAGATAGATGCACACTTTCGAGAATAGATCTTCCAAAGGATTGTCACACAAATCTATCAACTAGAGCGATACTAATGATTTAACCCTAAAGAAACCTTGAATTAGAAAATGTGGTGACATAGCTGAAGTACCAAATGGAAGAATTCGACGAATGAACCGAAGAGCAGGATAGAAAATAGCTCCATCAGAATAAACCGCTTTGGAGGGAGGGGGGTGGGAGAGTGGGAATGGCTATTTTCCCAATTTCTTATTTAAACTTGCCCACTTACTGGGATTAGCGTAACAAAATTGGATTTCAAAGTGAATGCGCCAAGTGATTACTTTTTGCCTTTCACATCAACCAAAATAACAAATATCCACCAAAAATTTCTATTTTTTACTTAAAAAAAGCTTTATTGCCATCAATGTGTTTGGTTCGTACACATATTTACTTTCATTTGCAAAGTTTCAAGTTGGTGTCAATTCGCTTTTATTCATTGCAAATAGATGGCACATTGATTTATCACTTGTCTATCTGCATTATTCCTGAAATTCACTTTATTCTTCCCTGAAGCTCCAATTTCGTGACACCGCCATTTGACAAGGGCTACCATTCAGCAAAAGGTATTAAATGCAGTCAAATTAAATTTTAATAAGGTAAAATAGCATATGTGTGTGTGTGAGTGTGTGTGTATGTGAGTGTGTGTGTGTGTGTGTGTGTGTGTGTGTGAGAGAGAGAAGGAGAGAAATATAGGGTACTGATAATTCGATAGACAATCGTACATTTAACCAGAGGCATTTATGTTATGTTTTCGTAAGGGGGAAATAAAAACCAATTGCACATACACATACACACACGCACGCGCACACAACTCAAATGACACACAGTCTTCATGCAAGAAGAAGAAGAAGAAGGAAAAAAGGCGAAATCGTCAGAGCCAGGGTGAGAAAAGGGGGGGAGAGAGAGAGGGAGAGAGCGTGCCTCATTGCAAATCGTCACTTGACGAGAAAATAACAGCCTGTAAAAGGAAGTGTGAGTTTTGCTACTCTCTCTCTCTCTCTCTCGGCAATAAACACGACTTTTCAAGGTGCACATTCGAAGCTAATGCATTTTAGATTGTAGCAAAAGTGTAGGCAAACTCATCTTGACCTATATCTCCTCCATAATGCATTGATAGACTTTAAACCAGTCAATAAATTGGGCTAATTTCGATAGAAAATAATCTGTAATCTCATGTCGCGATCTGAGACGACGTTACTTATACTCCTTTGTGGGTTGGTCTGAAAGACGAGTCCTGATCGATGCGATTCCACCCCTCCACCCCCCAAACCCACCCCCACTCCACTCCTTCGTTTCTACTTATAAGACAAGCTTTTAGCCTGTCTGGCTTATTCGACGGGTATGGATTTATGAACCTCAACAAGTAGTTGCAAGGTAGGCAGTAAGACAGATTGCACCAGACAATGAACCAGAATATAAAACTGGTATGAGCTTACCTATAAATGCCTATTACAGTGCATACTTCAACAACACGAAATAGCTAAGGTTATCTATCCTTAGATTTGCATACACATTGGGGTTCTTTCAAATTTTCTAATCTTGGATAGAGAAACCTACACCAAGCATCATTAATGAGAATCCTCTAAATCTTTAAAATACGCAGTGAAGATATTTCGCGAAATTCTCGTCCTCTTTTAAACTACTAAGGTGGAAAAGGACTGTTCGATTCGTTAAAGAGCCTAAGTAGCCACAGGCACACACACGCACGCAAGCGCGCGCACACAATGTCCTGACTAAATGCGAACGCCCTCCTTAGTTGACGGAGGTGACGTAACCCGCACCATCACTGAGCTATTTAAATCTAAACTTTCTGCGGACGAAAATAACAGTGAAATTTATTAGCTTAGTCGCTAATTACCAGCAAGGGGACAGGGAAATCTCCACAATCAATCTCAACTGAAATGAAAAAGAAAAACAAATGAAAATATCATTTCTTATTTATTCACTACTAACAGGAACTTGAAGTTGGGTGATTCGAATTCAGCCTATCTCCTTTTCGCCTGGTTAAGGGGATCGAATGGAGCACAATTTCCAACACACACACACACACACGCGCGTTAGAAATGGCAATAGAGAGTGAACACCGCGTCAGAGTGAAATTAGAATTCCACAGAGAACGGCTGTATGGAGAGAAATGAGTCAACGTGAGTCAATATTTTCATCTGCATTCTGTACAAAAGTAAACCATAGAGGCCAGGAATTAGTAACGAAATGCTGAGTAACAACTCCACCTACGTTAGGTACACACACCTCGACTGAAAACAAAAAATCGCGTTTCAACCAGCCCTTTCAACTACTTAGTCATGGATCCAAGCTTTCTTAACGCTGCTCTAAGAAAGGTAGAATCGAGAGAGAGAGAGAGAGAGAGGCAGAAGTAAGTATCAAAATTCATTGCACGAATGTGACCAGTCAATTCAAGATCCGCAAAATTAAATCATAACAATATGCGCATAAACAAAATAACATTAGGTTTCGCAGGCATTCGTCCTCTAAGCCACTAATAACATTTGACAATTAGCTGTGCGTGGGATGCGAATTGTGAGCAAATAGAATCATGGCAGTGACAATCTCTTATCAAGGCGCCTCAAAATTCCGCCTATTTTCGCAGAAAATTGAATACCCCAAAAAAGAGAAAGAATAAAAAGGACAGAAAACAACTCTATTCACAGAGTGATATTTTCGCCTGGAGGGGGAAGGCTGGCCCATTATTTATATGTAAGGCTAATTTATGTCTTCCCAGAAAGTGGGATAAAAATGATGCAAACGCCAATGACAATTTTTGACGAATATTTGAAGGTCACATATACAAATCAAAATGCGTTAGTGAAATTGAGATATGTGGAAGTAAAAGGGAGTCCCCCCCCTCAAACCCCCCCCCCCCCCTACTAATCTCCATTTTGCAAATTGTGCATAGAATTAGATTCAGAGGACAAACAAGGATCAAAATCCCTATCCAAATATTCGTAGCTCGCACTCACATTGAATTTGATCGAGTCGACGACGAGTTGTAACATTATCGAAAGTTCATTAGCTTATTTCGCCTTCTAAAACACTGAAACTGCGAAGATTTTTGCGAGTTCTGCTTTTATACATAGTCACGCTTTTACTCCATCTATCCTAATTTAATTCAAATGTGCTAATTTGAAAGATTCCATTTAGTTTATTTGTCGAAATTTGAAGATTTAAAAGAGGGCTATTCGAAGGATCAGGATGTTTTGTCCAAGCCTTGTTCAGCCTGTTTGCAACTCCCTTATTCCTGCAACGGCCAGCGCTGAGAGCTCCACTCACTTCCAGGTATGACTGTTGCTTAAACTTCAAATCCATTTATTTAACCATTCTGAAATACCAATTCATTGCCCACGATGTCTTTACATGTTATCTTCGCTTACGGATATTTACCCTCCACACCTTGTGAAAAAATTTGCAGAAACCTAGAATGGCGATAGATAGGCTCGGAAAATTTTTTAATTCCCGCATTGGTGACGCTATAACTTGGCACCATTTTATTATCGTTTAAAAGGCTTGGGGGAGGGGGGGGGAGGGACTCAGACGTACCGACAAGACGATTTTGTGACTTCTTGGAGGATTTCTTGTTATTCGAACGGGTGAGAAGTCCCTTGCGACCGTCTCTGCCGTTGCCGTCCGCCTCCAAATAGAGGCTCACAGTCAGGATGGACACATCTGGGAGATTGCTGTTGAATAGGAGACAAACAAATGCAATCTTAGCAACGTAGTTGTGAATAATCAGCAATTTACTTAATGTCAGTCAAACTTTACAAATTATAAATTGAATGTTTACTACCTTTTCAACAACATTGGGTAAAATGCGACAAAGGTAATGTCAAGGCCAAATTTCCAAGCCAATATGACCTAATAATCGATTCTTTCGCCGTCAACAAAAGCTACTCCCCTTAACAGGTCGGAGATGCTTGCCAGGGGTTTCTTTTCAACTGGCCAACCAATTAATTTGAGTTAGAGCATAAAGTAACTCTAATTCAGATAGATTATTCAGTAGGAAGAAAGCGACTTAGAAATCTCGTAATGGAATGGTAGCTCAATAAAATTGATCCTTTTTCCAAATGCCACAATTAGAGCAAGTGGAAAAACGTCTTTGGATTTCTTTACCACACAACCCATATCAGCTGTCTTCTTCTAAACTGGTTTTTAACGTAATTAGTGGAAGAGGAGCAATAGATATATATATATATATATATATATATATATATATATATATATATATATA